CCATCTCTTTCAGTTCTCAATACATTTATTCACTAATTTCAAAGACATATCAGGAGGGGGAAGTTTCACATTTGATTGATTATCTCTGGATTGTAAGCTGAGATAAACCAGTGCGTCGTGAGATGCTACTGGGACCCGTATCCTGCTTGTACCGGAGAAATTACAAAAATAGGTTGTGACGTTAATGTGTTGTGATGTTATGTGTTATGTGATGTTAATTACTTCACTCCCGCAATGTGGAGCTGACCGACTGTCCATCAAAGGGCTGCTGGCGTGGTTGTAAAACTGGTGTATAATCATTGCGAATTTTTTCTCGGGTGAACGTATGGCTAAACTTCTCCTTTGATTGGCAGTAGGTGATGGAGCTTATGTGTGTATAAGCTTATGTGTGTATCCGGTTCAATTAAACGTCATGCTTGCGTGTGTGGTGGGTGCGCTTTCAAAGGTTCTAGTCCTGCTGACTCTTGGGTCCTGCAACCCCGGGTTCGCTACAGGTAAAATGCACTCCGTCGATGATGCATCCGATTAGATAGGAACTGAATGTTGCGCCCAACATCCCGTAAGCACATCTGGGCATGGTAGACCAGACCGGAGACAAATTGTCTAATCTTGGACTGGTCAGCTGATTTATCAGACAAATGGCCCAACGAGGTGACTTGAACCATGCCAAGTGGTGAGGAAATGCATAAACTTGGTGGGCTGGAGATTGTAAGGTTTGCTCAAGGACAGCGGTGCTCAGCCACAGAAAGCATGCAATCCATTTTCCACTGCGGTTTCGATCGTGGTTGGACGAATTAGTACTTAATGTGCATCCGTGCGTGTATGAGAAAGAATTGCATGTCAGTGTATGACTATGACTTGGTATTGGTCAAAACGACGCGTACACGTCTAGAATTAATTTTTGTTTGTCTTCTGTCCCATACTTTTCACCTAAAAGGGAAAATATAGACCCTGGTGCACATTATTCTTAGGAGAGTTGTTAAGTGATTCTTCCCGTAATCGTGCAGAATTTACAAATAAGGTTTTTCGCAAACATAGAATAAGCAGTATCACTTTGTGCTAACCTGCTCACCATTCTGAATACCTCACAGTTTGTACACTTTCTCATTTTTGAGTATTCCCACTAATCTAATCGGCGTAAGCATTGATGATCTTGGATGTTTCTGTCTTGAACCCAATCAGTGGTAATCGGTTTGTTGTACGCACCGAAAATGTATGGATTTTGGTACCCTTGGAACTCATTTCGGAGACTGGCTTATTTATTAACACTTAAGCCAGTCAATCTCAGCCATCAGAAAGCACCAGTTTGTTGCCTAAAATGAGTTTATGGCCGATCTAATCTACTTAGAAATTGTGGGATGACAATACCAGCAGCAATCCGGCACCCGGCCATTCGCTTCACTGACCGCCCCCTACTAGACTGTATTGTCTTGGTGATTGCTTCTGAAAGTTCGGTAGTTGGCTAATATGCCCAGCGCCTAGTGTAAGAGAACGAATGCTCATGCTCTTTTTTTACCATTGTTACTACTAATTTTGGTCGGATGGTGGTTGTCGACGTTCTTGTGTGCTTGATCGCTGACCTTATTTTCTTGGGTGTATATTGGCATCGGCGACTTCAGCATATCAACACATTCGACTCTCCAAGAACCACTTGTGTCACGATTACTACGAGTAGACTTCTTGTGGACCAAACACTCATAACCAGCAGATTCGGTTCCCATACCGCCCATGTTCACCCTGCTTAATTACAAACTAGTTTCACTGTCAATGTTTTTGGTTAGTCTAACCAGTCATTTGAGCAGACAATATTGGTACAACGTGGCTTTTGAAAATTGGGTGCTAATAGCGCCATCAATCATGGTGGGGTTCACGTCTGACTCGTGCATGTTGCTTCAGCAACTATTAGAGATAGAGATTGGTTGCTCTCATGTCATGCGTAGTAGTAATTTGCACCTCGTTATTGGCTCGCGGTTACTCCGAATTCGGTCGATCAATGTCGTCAACTTAGAATGCCTAAACCAATTGAAACCTCAGATGAGTGAACCAATTGGGATGCGCGTAACGGACAGACTGCTTAAGGACAATATTGTACTGACAGGCCAAACGTATTAACACAATTACACGTTTGTTCCTTGTATTTTCCGGGTCTTGACGTCATCGTGTTCACATCAAAGACGTCAAGCTGGACTGGCAGTTAATCTCGTGCATTCAACTGGCTTACTGTGTGTTGTATCCCACGAACTCTTGACTGAAAGAGTGGTTTCTTACGTCAATGTTCAGTTCCCGCTGTTTTAATGTTGATCATTCTCCCTGCTGCATTTTCTGCCTGCTATTTTCCTGATTGAATCGATATGAAGGCAGACACACTGGATTATCACCTATATTAGGAACAATCTTGAATTCAGTTTTTGGGTGGGAGATTCTCGATTAGGTGAATAAGTCCAGGTTCAGAAGGGATGAGAAATTGTTTTGTGATAAAAGGGGAAAAACTTACAAAATACAATCATTTGTGAACAAATTCTCTCCTGTGAGAGACTCTTTGGAACCCAACTGAATGCGTTTTGATCTCCTCACTCACAGGGGAGCGTTCACAAAAGTCGCGGAAATCTACCCACGTTTATGAACACTTTACCATCAAGGAGCCTCTGAACTTATTTGCTTTTCCCCGCTTGTCAACCTGTTAGCTATCTGTTTTTGTCTGCTAAACGTAGCAGGACGGATATTCATCAGTGAAAGCCACACGAGTTAGGCGAATTCGTGTTTGTGAAATATGCACGGCTAGTTGACCAAAATACTACCCAGTCATTTCCGCGGTAAATGCTCTTTCCACCTTTGGAGATGCGCTTTTAACGCCAAAGTGGACACACACATCCTGCTTTCTGACCATGGTGAATTTAGCGTTCAAGTTATTCAGGTGGTTGGCCAGGTGTGAGCTGAGCTGTATTCCATATGCACATCGCCGCGAGCTAACGACAATACTGGAATAGAAAAGATAATCTCATAAGTAGATTAGGTAACAGGGTAAACCATAGTATCAAGCGGCTAAAGCTCACACCATACGAAGAAGTGATACCGCGCTGGAAAGTAACCATCTCCTGGTGAGCGCTGTATTCATAGTCTAGGAGGTGCCACTGTGTTGTTTCGCGGTTGAGCGCCTTGATGCCCTTCTGAACGCCTGCTGAGTTGCGATGCGTTCGAGACCAGACATGTCATCACAAGTGTGGGCGACCTTGCAGCACGAATGCGGTTGGTTCGCTCTACTACTAGAATCCATTAATCGTGTACTCTGACGTAGATATCAAGGGGAACTTTGCCTACTATGGCAGACCTACACCTTTCGGATGGCGGTTGTTTGCGTTCACGTCAACTGCCGCAAGGAAGCGCTTATAGAAAGCCGTGCACCAATTCTGCTGATCAAATTTATTGTGGAGTAACATGTTCCCGAAAATTCCCTATGTTCTCCGTGCCTTCACGTGCAAGCACCTGTACTTTTTTCGAATGGAAATTGTGGTAGTCTTGGCCTTCACACAAGGAATTCCAATCAACTAGACAGCGTCTCCTTGCATAGGGTTTCTTCATAGCCTTCTTCCACTCAGTCCAATGTTTCTTTTGTTATATCCGTTTTAGTTCACCTCACATAGAGCACTTTCTTTCAAGTAAGGCTTCTTGCATCCGAAGATGAGGTTTTAGCATACAAAAGAACAAAAACGTCGACTTATTTACATGAAACTTATAAACATGAAGAACGACTTCAGGACGGCTTGAACTTATTCAAGCGAAAAGTGAAAATACTACCAGAGAGTGGGCCATAGGAGATAAAAAATAATTACAGCAGTTTTCAATACCAAACTGAATTTAAATATTGTTCTAGTGGCTGCGGATGCAGAGACACAGTAAATTGGCTTGATTATTTGTGTCGTGAGAGACGCTGAGATGTTTTTCTAGGAAATTTTTTTCTAATGAAGCCTTAAGGACCCAAAGCGTGTTATTTTAGTCCGCTTTTATGCGCCACAATGTGGACAGTCTACGACAGTCTATTGAACCGTAGGTTTAAACTCGCATCACAAAACAATGGACACTAGGATGTTTTTGAGCAAAAAGTACACCTAGGCAACCATTACACCAGGGCCAGAAAAATTATTACATCAGAAGATGCTCACATGATGCTTATAACCATACGACATCCCCTTAGCTCGCGAACAGAGGGCTGCCCTGAGAAGATTGATCTTAAGCTGGAAGAAGGATATTAGAAAATGTAATCCGAATAATTTCGTCTTTCAGATACATCATGATCTATATGAAAACTGAAACACTGATCGGTAACAATACAGACTTTGACAGAAGAATTAGTGAAGCTGCGGTGTCCTTGAGAAAGAGTAATCCGCTTATTTTGCCTCTTATGAGTCATGACTAGAAAATCACCGTTTAATTTTGGAAAAATTGACGATTCTGTTAGCGCTAGTGTAGAACACGAACAAGAGAATTTCACCGCATCCTCCTCAACCTTCAATTTTTGGGGGTACTGGTCCTTCAACTCATTCGAATAACTCAGACGTACCCAATAAGCTGGAAACCGCCAGCTGCATTACCAAGAGGGTAACAGTCAAAGGTTGAAATCGAAAAGTTCACCCGTCACGAAGAGACTGGACCTTACCGTGTTGTGACCTCAGCGACCCGTTGAGCTACACTATGAGGTGGCCCAAAACACTTAGAGAGTCTCTCATACCACATCGGTCAATGGTTGGACGTCAGACAAACATACTCTCCTGGTCCTCCAGGTTGGGGGTCGGAACATCTGTGGCAACTTTCCCCGTATAAATGGTAATGCATTTGCATTTACCGCCAAACATCGCTGCCTTGCAGTCAGGTTTTTGAGCTAAAGGCTTTGGTTGAGGACCCAAATTGTCCTCCTGTCTAGTTGTAGCTGTCTTGAAAATATCCCTCATGAAGATGTCTCATAAAGGGAAGTTGATAGGTGTGTGTTTATCGTGTCTGCTTACGTCCCAACTGACTGTAGCCCCGACGCCGCCAAAGACCGGTTTTACGACGCCCTGGATGCCCTGTTGCGGTGAGATAAAAGCTAAGATATCGCGATGATTGTCGGAGATATGAATGCACAAGTGGGCAGTCTTAGCGTAGCCGATACTCAATTACGAGGTCGAAATTGATTGGATTCGGTACGTTCGGACAGTGAAAAGCGATTGCTTCGGCTGAGTGCGGATCGTAGGCTGTTTTTATGAAGAACTAACTTCCGAATTAGCCGAAGTCGTCTAGTTACATGGTGTACAGCACACCAGTCACAAACTCAAGTCAATTGCATTGCCATCGGTGACCGATGGTGCGGATCAATAACTGACTGCCGGTCAGTTCAGAACACATTTGTGGATTCCCAACATGCACTCGTCCGGAGTGCCTTCTCCCTGAGTCTTTCGGGGACGCGTACGGTGCGGGCAAATAGCTTGGCAAGTGGAAGACTGGCAGATCCGGATGTTTGACGAACTTACCCTTATCGTCTTCTAGAGTCTCTTCCAAATGCTCCATCATCAGATCTGAACGCATACCGGGAGGAGATTGCTACCTCTTTGCATAGTGCTGGGAATTTTGCCCGTGGCATGGTACCACCATGCTCACTCAAGCACTGGATATTAGACCGAACGGTGGTGCTGCTTAAATTTCGGAGAAATATCCCAGCCGGCCCGGAACATAACTTGTTTTGACGAATTATCAGACGTCAGGTGAAGGTGAGCGTGCAAGCCGATCGTGAAGTGTGTAATGGACAGAGAAACTGAAGAAGAAGAAGAAGAAAAAAATTGAAGCCCAGGAAGCCGGTAATGCCCGAAGATTATTTCAGTTGATCCGTGCGGTCCCCGAAAACCACCTGTAAGCGAAACAATCAAGGATCAGAATGGAGTGACCATCTTGAATAAAGAAGACCGCTTGGAGAGCCGAATATTTTGAACAACAGCTCATCTGGATCCCATAGGTGACGTGGAACCCTAAACAGTGAACGTGGAACCACGTACGGCCTCAGAGGTTCATGATTGTATATGTTCTCTCAAGCGCCACTGAACCTCTGATCCGGAACACCTCCTACCCGTATTGTCCAAAGATAGGGGTGAACAAATTACCAGATAGTGTATGTGGCATAAGTGATGTGTCAGCAGTCTGTTAGTCTGCTGTATCCAAAGCTTGCTCCAATACGCCCACAAACCCATAGATCGTTGGAGCCACATACTAAAACCACTTTCCACTCAGCTCAGAATAATGCTTCTTTCGGTCGATCGCTACACCAGAAGCCAAGCTAGTTTCTGTGATCGAAAAGTTATGAAAGTACCCAGTGGACTTATTATTCGACCTAATGAAGATTGGGTCAAAGTGTGAAACGCTTTTAAATGAAGCAACAAGTCAAGTGATCGCCTTTCAAAATGGTTCAAGAACAACTACTAACCAATCAATTACAAGTGATTTCCCCAGTGACGATTATTCTATGAAAGACAGCAAAACAGTCTTGGTGGGTTTGAATCGTTTGCTTCCGTCAGTTGGCCCAATTTCCATGGATCAATTCAATTCCCCTGCATGCGCAGTTAGCTTATATTCGTTCTTTTTGTTCGATATATGTTAGCTTGAACGGAACCTTAATACAGAATTAAGACCCAACAGTCCTTTAAGGATGATTACTTCCTAAAATAGCTCCTAGGAATATCTTCTCCAATTACGAGCTAACCACACTACTGAACAGCACCTCGTGGTAGTCCAGTTCAATTTTCAGACTACCAGCAGGGAGGTTGCATCTTCACGGCCTCATGAAGTTTCGGCAGATGTACATTTTTTATGGTTCCAAACAAGAATGGGACAGGTGTACGGCGTTTCTCTGCTTTTCAGCATAGGTTGACTTTCCTTACAGAAAGAAACTTCTATTGAAACTTCTCAAAGCTCCTCACAATATCAGCGACGCTTGAACGCTGATGACACGTACATCCAGTCGGGACACAAGCCATTCTTTTTTAGGCTGTTGCAGTTGTCTTGCTTTCGTGACCATTGTTCGAACTCCTCTTTGATACAAGCGCAAGTGTAGAATTAAATGAACATTACTCACAGAACCGGTTCTAGGATCGAGGTTCAAGGTAAATGTAAAATTTAAACTACTCATACGGTGGTCGAGAACTCTTTCATAGACCTTCTTGAGGCTCATCAGGTAGGCGCAGCCCCCGAGTTTCAGTCAAACTTATGTTCTATATGAACCCAAATTGCACGAAATTAGCGAAATACACCCATTCGCCTACCATCATTATACCATAAACGAGAGATTCAAATAGATTCCAGGTGAGTCTCCCGTCAAAACCGAACTGGTATGCAAATGAGCGTAGCTTGCTAAATTTAACACTCTTCTCTTAGTCTGGAAAACAAAACATATGTTTCCAATCATACGTCATTGGGAGGCTACGTCTGCGAATACGATAGTCAATATTCAGATGGTTATTGCCTACCTTGTTTAAGTGTGTCCTACTTCTGAGAGTGACAGATCATTTCTTTCAGGTTGAGGCATAGAGTTAAGAATCCGACGATGTCAAGGCATTGTATTTGTGAAATCAGCATGCTCAAGTGCGGAATCTCCGCACCGAAAGGATGTTACGAGTTAATTTCACATGTGGTTGGCTGTAAAAAGCAATTCCCTTCAGAATACCACCATTCAACTATCATTATTCAGAGCTGCATGGCTCTCCAGTATCAATTGTCCAATTCTCACAGCACACGTGATACAGCAAAAATTAGCGGTATATGCGGTTGGAAGTGACAGCTGTTCTTGTATGGCATATAGGTACGATCCTGTAAGCTGTACTCGTAGATAATACAAGTTGTCCAACCAACCATCAGGAAAGGCTGACAGTGTGTTTCGGCCCTTCCACACAGTACAGACTCATACTTTTAAGTAACGGTCGATCGTCTGTCCGACCAGACCCATCAACCTCAGGTTGTCTTGCATCTCGTTAAACTTGTATTCACAGTCAGTTGAAGAATTTAGTGAAGGAACGCCAAACCAAAATACCGCAAAACCTGTAGACAAGTCCTGAAATTCGGTTGCTGCACCTTGACTGGTGGAATAAAAGAATTTCTAACACGACAACATGTGACTGGTGACCGATTCCAAGACAGCCATGAGGTGGGGCTATCCGAACTCTGTTGCGCACATTGCCAAGAGAACGACCAAGTGGACTTGGCTTAATAAATAGCAGTTGTGTTTGGATGTGCCGCCTTAAATGGGTCTGACTGCCCGAATCGCCTGTCCGTTATTATGGAGAGTTTTTCTCAGGATCTTCCAGTCAGATTCCTAAGTCTTTGTGACCACCATTTTTTAGTCTTTTCTGACATTTTCAGATAAGGTACTTTATAAAGAAGGTTCATTCAGGGATAAGCAACGTTCTGCTTGTACTTAACGTCCCTGAGATATAAACACACGCCACCAACTCGCTCGAAAAGATCGGCACTGAAAGAGTTCGTTTTTCTACACCTATCAGTCATAAAAGTCTAATACATTCAATTTAGGACAAGTAATAAAATTCGAGGGAATGGTGTGAACCTACCAGATATGAGCATCACGACCTATTGAACTCAAGGACACTTACTGGTGCGATAAACTCTTGCATTTCCGCTGCTCAGAAGATTGGACAGATTGAGTTGAGGCTAGAAGGAGTGCTTTTGAAATGTGAGACGGAAGAGGCTGAGATACGACCAGATCGTCTGCACACACACACAGAAGTTCCTGATGACATGATCCACGATCGTTTAGTTCGGAAGTTCTGTTCCTGGGTTCTAAGGAATGTTGAGCAAAGGGTAAATGGAGAATCTATCCTATGTATTCATACCTCACCATTGCATCGGTTGTGGTGTGTATTATAAGTTTTGCAGGAAATTCTCACGTCCAAGCAATTGTTCATGCCGTCGATTTTGATTCGTTTTGACACGAACTTCGTCGCACCTCTTACAAGGACGATTGCATTGTTTAGCCATCGACTAACACCATAGGCGACCTCGTCACACCTTATCGATTCAAATGGAACTTTACGAGCTGCAGTGCTCAAATCAATAGATGAGACTTTAAAAGCTGAATTTCATGAAGCGCACTTTTCAGCTAGCTGTGATCTCACAGCCTATAATTCCTTTCCTGGATATTCGTATCCCTCTGACATCGCCAAAGTCCAGGAGTACCAGTATTAAATCCGAAAAGCAAATAAAACTGTTTATGGTGTAGTGGCTGAAATGGTGAATATAGCTTTTTATTGCGGTTCATTGGGCAACAGTTATTTACGTTAGTGCGTTACGCATGAAGTCAAGATATCCTTTAAACTACGTCACTGCTTGCGTACAACCCTCCTAGCAATGGCGATCTCACCTTAATTCAAACATTTTTATGTTGAGGGAAGCTGAATCGGCAGTGGTGCCCACGATACGTATAAACTTTTGAAAGAATAAAACCGTCCGGAAGGTTAAACACAGGAATGTATACCCTAGTTGGTACAGTAGGACTTCCAAGTGACCAGATGATCGATGTCTGCACCATACCCTTTGTGAATCTATCTACGAAGGCCAGAATTAGGGACACGATCAGAGTGTTTTGTAGGTGACCGTAAACTGACACTGGATAGATTGGAAATTGAACCACAATAGCCTGTCCTCAAACAAGACTGAAATGAAAACTGCACAAACTGCAGAGCTTGATCACATGCGTCGGGTGTAAATCGGCTTTATGTGGACGCTATAGATGGAGGTTTCCTCTCAAGGTAGCGTATGGGGATGCGGTTTGTGTGCTTCGTCTGAAGGATCACGTGACATCTCGTGGTTTCTGATTTGTCTTGTTTTTTAGTATTCCGAAGCACAGCTATTCTGTGTCAAACCAGTGAAAGTGCGTTTCATATCACGACCTCATCATTCACCTGAAAGCTTGCCTGTCATCCTGACGTCAGTACTGAAACTGGATTAGAAAAAGTATATGCTGACGTTATGAAATGTGTACATGTGACAGGCCTTGTGAATCCCAAATAAGTGCGCACTTCAGAGATTCAAATGCTCAATTAATGGCTTGATTCGAAAGGGTGGAATGCCTTCTGTATATTTATACTGAGACTTACAAGTGAACCACAAGTGACCTGGTGTTACCTTAATTCGACTGATGTAGTTGATGGTTTGGATAACTTTTTCGGGTCTTCACCGGAAAATCTGCTCTGTGTAGAGGATCTGCTTGCCAGCTTGCCGAAATCCATAAATATGGACATCCAATGAAGGACATGAGAAGGTTATGCTTAATCAAGATACCTCACCACGCACTGTGTATTCTTACCAGCAAACTTACTTAGATGTATTTAGAACTTCGTATAGATCTCAGAAAGCACGCTGTCAAGACAGCAGCTTCTTTGATTTGGTGCTGGATGGTAGCAGTTGCCACATAGGATAGTCCCTGGAGCAGATTTATTATCACATCAGCTCACGTTCACTTGGCCCCTGCAAATAACGCTTTCTGCACAACGTCCTTCTTTCACGCGCACAGAACTCGTAAAACCTAC